CTGCCGACTTGCAGTTGACCCCTTTCTCTAGCATCAGCGTTCTTCCACCTGATCAAATTTCTCTTGTGGTGTGTCTTCCTTTCTTCAACCGTGTTACCCGTTTCGCCTGTGTAAACCGCACCACAGGAACAAGGGAGTTGGTACACTCAACCGGCTTGTTGCTCCTTAGGTTTCTGGGTCTTGAGGTGGCTTAGGCGGTTACGTAGAGTAGCAACAGGTTTGAATATTAGATTGAGTCCGGAAGCAGATGCAATACGTCGCAGCTTTTCACTCAGTTTGCAAACGTATGGCAAGGTGATGTAGGTCTTGTGAGTTTGGTCCGGAACGTCAGATGCCTCTTATGAAAGAACATTTTATGCGTGGTCTTCCCCTTTGTGACTTACCAAAGGATTATATCATCTCTCGCATAAAGAAATAATGTATGGTTTTCCGACAACATGCATCTTTAGAACTCCGCTGTAGTATGGGTAAAATAAAGAAGTGTATCAAGCCCCTCACATCTGGAATCTACGGCTGTCGCTAATTCATGCCCGGACAAGGTCAACTTACAAGCAAGTTTTCGAAGCATAGATGACGTTGTCACACTTCGACTACAGTTCTGCAAATGTATGACTAGAGTTAGAATCACATTGTCAAAAATATTCCGTTTCTGCTATCCCTGTAAGTTGAATTTTGCGATTATCTTTTAAATGCGCGATTAGGGAAACCAAGCCATGTAAAATTACTCGATAAATTCTGCTCAAAGAACACTAATTCACGCCTTGCAGGAAATCTAACTTGATTATTGACTTGTCATAAGGCAAAGATAGGATAATGTTGCGTATCATTCATGATTTGCTTGTCCTTACTTTTCTTCCATACAGTATCTCATACTCGCCCTCGCTAGGTTGAAATTGCGTCTATTTTGTATCATTTTTGCCGTTTATATATTCTGTTTTCTTTTTTACTTTGTAGTTAAGTAAAAATTTAGAATCCTTTTCATTAATGATTCAGTAACTTGAAATAGCAGTTTTCTTACCGTATTCCAGGGGTACTGTTCCGCATTTCCGCTATACAAGCTGAAAGATATACTGCAGAAGTATATGAAGCATGAGAAAATACTTTCCAACTTAACGG